TCAAAATTGGGCTGGGGATGCGGCTCAGTGATTGAGTGCCCCAGGGTTCAATCCCCTGGTACCAAACAACAAACAAAAAAGGTGAAGTAGATGGGAGGATGTAAGCTATGGGGTGTGTGTGTGAGTGTGTGTGAGTGTGTGTGTGTGTGTGCGTGCGCGTGCACACGTAGACTCAACACACCGTTTTATATCAGAAACTTGTGTACTCGTGGATTTGGGTCTCTCTGAGGGTCCTGGAATCAATCCGTGCAGATACCAAGGGACACTGTCTATGGAACTGCATCCCCTGCCAGGCCCTCCCTACCCCCGTCACCGTCTGCTACCCTACGTCTCTGTACATTGCCCACGTCCCCACTGAATGAAGGAGCATAGAGTGAATTGTAAACACTTAGCAGAGCTTTAGTGAGGACACTAAGGTGACATTCAGGAAGCACAGGGGAAAGTCACCCAACACGGAGCACTGGGAGTCAGGGCCCCTGGCCCCTGATAACTCCGGAAGCCCTGCGGCACCTCTTTCCCTGGCTGATTGCCCTGGGTTCTGTGGGTGTCCTGATATCACTCCAGCACGGGCTCCCTTGGCCTGATACAGTAGGAATCGGGTTTCTGTGTCATTGCCACCAAAGCCCCAACGCAGATTCCCTATCTTTGCCCACTGGACAAACTTCCAGAGAAGAGAGGATGCAAAGACCAAGCCGACAGAGGCCGTGGGGTGGGACCAGCCAGAGGAGACAGTGGCAGGGCGGGGAGGCCCTGGCTCCGCAGGAAGAGTTGGGAGGGACAACCAGGTGGGAACCGTGGAGAGCCTGGGGAGGGACAGGATGCGGGACACAGAGTGGTGGTGTGAGGCTGGTATGAGCATGACCAGCCTGGCAGCTGGAGCTGGCCTGGTTGGACCGAGGGACATGCAGGGACTGAGGCAGGTGCATCCAAGGACTTTGAAAAGCAGGCTGACGGCAGAGAGGAGGGAAAGCACGTTGGAGCAGCAGGAAGTAGTGTTCTGGGTCAGGTGCACCCGGAAGAGATTCCTGGCTTTGTCATTTATTGGCTGAGTGACCATGGACAAGGACTTCAACACCCTGAGCCTCAGCTTGCTCATCTGTAGATGGGCACAGTGGTGACCAGCCTCGCAGGACTGAAGGCTAGGTTGGAGGTGATCCTGCAGAGCGTTTTGTCCGGGGCCTGGCACAGGACAGGTGGTGAAGGCTGACAGGACAGCTTCCGCCACCCTCTTGGGAAGCCCCCTTGATTGATGCTGGGGTTGGGGACGGCTGAGTCCCCTGCTGTGGAGTTCTTTCCCTCCCTTCCCTGAGAAGGGACAGACATGAAGGTGCTTTGTCCATTCAGATCTGGGAGGAGCAGGACAGGGGAGAGGCTGAGCTGCCCGGAAGGTGTTTTGCCTCCTCTGTCTCAGGAGCAGAGGCCCAGTGGCCAGCTGGTTTGGGCCAAGGAGGTCAAGGAGACCGAGGGTGGCCAAGTCTGAGAAGGAAGACGCAGGAACCCCAGCGTGGGTTCTGGGCGCCTGGTGCCCCCCGGGTCTGGGGAGATCACCAAACCTCCCACCCACCAAGTCGCTGGGTGGCCGTGGGCAGGTCACAGCTCTCTGGAACTCAGTGTGGTCATTGTAGGAAGAGAAAGATGATCTTGAAGGGTCTCTGCAGCTTTGACAGTCCACAGGGAGGCTCCCAGCCATTTGGGGGTGGCAGACAAGGCCTCTTTCTGTGGTCAAGGTTAAGTGCAGGAGGGAAGAATTAAAAACAAAAATTATAGCTCGTAAAGATGTGGGGGTCCAGGCTCAGGTCTTGGACGCGGCCATGACTCCTCCTGTGCTGCGTATCTGGGAGCTCAGAGCCCTGGGGGGGGTGGCTTCTCCCAGCAGTAGCTGGTTGCCAGGGTAGATCTCGCTTCCAGGAAGGCAGGAGGCTGGGGAGGGTGTGCGTGTGTGCGTGTGCGTGCGTGTGTGCGTGTGCGTGCGTGTGTGTGTGTGTGTGTGTGTGTGTGTTGGAGAGAACCCAGGGCCCACCATGGCTCTGGATGTCCCCCAGCCTGCTGCCCTGTGATCTCTCTGACCTTTAGCAATGCCGGCTTCGCCCCTCAGTTCTGCAGCTGGACGCCTTCAAAGGAAGCGTGCTTTTCTGAGAAGCGGAGAGAGAGGCCCAGAAGGCTGGGCCCGGGGTTGCGGCAGGGGGCCTCAGGGCTGCCAGGGCCCATCATTCCTCTGCTCCCCTCCTGCCGCTTCTCTCCCCAGTAACCTGGGGGCTGGCAGGCGCTGAATGGCCACCCGCTGGCTGACGCGCCCACCAGGCTGTTGGAACTTCCAAGGGAGAAGGTGAGCGCTGAGTGGCCTGGGGACAGTTCCACCCGCCCCTGTTCCCCCAGCTCCTCCGCCCCTGAGAGGCCTCCAAGGAGACGGGCCAGAGTGAGGCGACAGCCCCTCTCCTCTTCCCACCCGGTTGCCATCCCTACCCTCCTGGCTGTCCCCTCCCCCAAGGCAGGGCCAACTCCCAGCAAAGCCAGGTCCAGCTGGAGAGCCGGGGAGTGAGCCCACTCCGCCAGGCCTGGCCGACTGAGGGTGCAGGGCACGGCACAGCCCAGGGCCTGGTGGGGTCCCAGGGGCCTCCTGGTGCTCCCGCAGGCCTCCCCTGGACTGCTGAGGGCTGCCTCTGAGGTCAGTGCTCGGGGACCGTAGAGCAGGTCTGGGGAGGGAATGGGGGTGAGACCCTTGCTGGGGGGCCCTGGGGAGGATTTGAGGTGTGCTCAGGCCTCGGCAAGCCCTCTGGTTCTGCAGAGAGCAGACAAGGACAGTGAGGTTTCGAGGCCAAGGCCACAGAGGAGCCCTCTCTGCTCTTACAGGTCCTATTCTGTGAGACTCTGAGGAAGGGAGAAGGTTCTAGAGTGAGCTTGCATGATGCAGCCAGAGTAGGACTTCAGTTAGAAGGGACAGGCTTCCCCTGCGTCCAAGACCGTCCCTGGCCTGACTTGGAGGGCCTCTTTCCTGCGACCCAGCTGGCCCTCGCTGGCTGGTCAGCAGGGGGTGTGGAGAGAGCTGGTGGCTGGACCCCCCTCATGCTCTAGGGCACCACAGGAACAGCTCAGACGCTGACTACAACTTCAGTCTTGCTTTGATTGATGCAGGCCTAAGGCCTGGAGCCTGGACCTCTGGGCTGGCCTGCCGGCTTCTCCCAGTCTATCTGAAGGCCCTGGACATCCGACACTAGCACTAGTAGAATCAAAGCTTCTCCCAGCTCAGACTCTCCTCTCCTTTCTCCAGCCCCCTCCCAGGCCAGCCTAGAGGGACAGCTGGTCCCGGAGGGAGACGGAGCGGGTCCACCCCACCCCTCCTGCTGCTGAGACTCAAGGAAGGGCCAACCCGCACATAGTACCCAGCCAGAGAGCCCTCCGGCTTGATGCCTGAAGGGCGGGGGCCCTGGGCAACTAGACGGGCATCAGAGTTTCCAGGCAGGAGCTGGGAGGGGTCGTTTTCTGTCTGCAAGTGCCAGGAGGGGTGTGGAGGGGCCGTGGGAAGTGGGGTGGGAGCTCTGGAAGCCCTCAGTCTGCTGGGCGCAGGGAGCCAGAAGTTAGGTCCCGGAGCTACCGGTGAGTACCTGGGGTAGGACAGGGGCTCCAGGGCTGGAGGACTGGGTGACCGTGCTCCCTCCCCGCTGCCTGCCGTCAGGGATTCTCCACAGCTACACACAGAACCTGGGCATGACGAGTCTCTCCTGCTGGGTTTTGGTGCTGGAGAACTGTCTGTCTGTCTGTCTGTGTTTCTCAACCTTTCCTTCTTTCTTTGTTGGGTTCTGGGGACTGAACCTAGGGGCACTCTACCACTGAGCTACATCCCCAGCCCTTTTTATTTTTTTGAGACAGGGTCTTGCTTAATTGCCAGGGTTGGCTGTGAACTTGTGATCCCCCTGCCTCAGCCTCCCGAGTAGCTGGGGTTGCAGGTGTGGGACACTGTGCCCAGCTGAAACTTGACTCTTGAAACCTGGGTCGGACTAAGCTGCCGTGGGGAAGAGGAAGTTCTGCTCTCCCTAGCCTCAGGAAAGACTCCAGGGTTGAACAGAAACAATCAGTCATATTAGACCCTCTTTTGGATCTTCTGTCCTGTGTTTGTAGAATTCAGAGATCATAAATGCTGGCCTGTGAGCTGGACCGAGCCCGTTGAGATTAGAATTGGCCTGTGGAGTGTTTCAAATATTTGAAAATCCATTTCAAAATGTTTGGAATCCAGTTTATTTGGCCTTTGTTGTCTCCTTCTTGCTTGTTTTCCTCCATGTTGCTTTAAACACATTGAATGAGTTGCCAACATTGAAACATCAGGAATATTTGTCTTAAAAAAAAAAAATCCAGTTTCTGGCTTCCCTTGGGAAACTGGAAGAGCCCAGTACCTGGGGCCAGATCCAGAGAGCAGGACCATAGGCCTGGGCTGGGGGGGCGGCCAGTGCTTCCAGGGAGCCTGCCCACCTGTCCTCCCTGTCCATGCCGTACCTGCCAGTAGGCTCCGGAGTCATTGTTATCTGCCACCCAGCCACAGGCAGCCAAAAGCTCAGTCTTTGTATCTCCACAGATACCTGCAGGGTGCCGTCCTGGGATAATCTTAAACCCTAACAGGAAGGCCTGGAAGTGCATGAGCTCTGGGCAGGTCCAGCCCACCTGGCCAATTCCTTGTGGGCTTATTTCCCACCTGTTCCTAGAGCAGCTCAGGGAGTAGGTTGGGGCCTCAAGGGGTGGGAAGGAGACGTGACCAGGAGTCAGGGAACTTGGTTTTGGCCTTTGCTTAGCCACTGGCTCACAAAGTGACTCTGGGCTTGGCCTTCCCCTCTCCGGGCCTTGACTTCCCTACCTGTCATGGGAACAGGTTGGACGGCATCGGACGGCAGCCACGGGAACATTCATGGAGCCAGGCAGGTGTGCGCTGGACCTGAGGGTGCGTGGTGGGCTGGGCTCCCTGTCTAAAGTGGGCAGCTGCTGCTACCTGAAAGGCCCACGGCCCAGTGTGGCCAGTGGTGAATTTCTGGAGTTTTGAGAGAAGCCAGGCTTCTAGATATTCATGGAACCTCTGTTTCTCTTTTTCTAAAATCACAGCTAAAGGTGCTGTCAAGACCTGGTGAAGCCTGGGGACCCTCGTCTGCAGCTTTGCCATTAGATAGTCACCAGGGCCCTTGCCAGCTAACTTATAACCTGTGACTTGCTCTGGTCACAGAACAAGTTATTGATGGACTTGGTCTTTGATTCCAAACTTTCAGGTCTAAGACTACGGCCATTCATGAGAATTGGTTTCTAAATGCGAAAGGCATTACCCTCTGTCTCCTCCGTGACAGATGGGCAGAGGCGAGAGGGGAAGAGGCCCCAGTCCAGGTCCACTCCACCACTTACAAACTGGTGGGACAGGCCCTGGGCCTTGCCACCTCTCTGGGCCTCACTGTCCTAACCTATCACATGGCCATCATGCTACCTGGTTTAACCAAGCCCAGCCCCCATCGATGTCCCCAGGTAAGTCTCTCCCTGCCCTGAGCCTCGGGTTCCGCTGACCTGTGCTGACCTTGGGTTCCTTTCTGTTGCAGGAGACATGAGCACAGAGGGCTCCAGTCTCTCCAGCCCCAGGGCCGCCAGCCCCCAGGACGCCTTCACGGCTCCTGTCACCCCTGGGACTCTCACCGGGGCGACGGACCCCCTCCCTGTGCTCATCGCCCTGGCCTGCATCTTCCTCCTGCTGGCTTCTTGTCTACTGTTCCTGATCCTCTGCAGGCCGGCTGCTCTGGACCCCCGCCACCGCAGGGCCCGCGAGTGCATGCCCCACCACCCCGAGAGCCCCAGCGAGCCCCAGCTCCGGCTTTGGAAGCGCCTGGGCTCCCTGCGCCGCTCTCTGCACAGCTTCCGGAGGGGGTGGCTCACCGCCCCTCCACGGCCACTGCCAGGCCACGACAACCCCCCGGGCAGCTGTGACTGCACGGAATCGACCAAAATGTGACAGGCGTTTCCAAACAGATGCCCCCACTATCCTCCACCCCCGGCAGATCCTCCCGCCTGGGACTTCTGGGACTGCAAGACAGCGGCCCAAGCAACCTGGGCCCTGTGCTCACCTCCAGGGCTGCCCTGGGTGCCCAGCCAGTGTCCTTTCTCAAAGGTGGTCCCTGAAACAGCACCCTCTTTTCTGTGGACCTCTTGCTAAAAGATCCCAGGATCAAGAGGTGAGCTCTCCTGGCCATCTGTGCCCTTGGCCTGAGAGGCTCTGGGGGTGCAACCCAGAACTCTTTAGGATCCCTTTCTGGTAACCAGGCACCAACCACTCCTGGAAACAGCACCCCTGCCCCCCAAGAGGAAGTTTGCCTCTGATTCCAGGGCCAAACCCAGCTCAGCCTGTACCCGGGCAGGGCCCTGTCCTACCACCTGCACCATCTCGGTGCCCAAGGCAAAGGGACCCAGGGACTCCTCATCTTGGTTTCCTGCCCTGCCAGCATCTGCCTGCTGACCCGTGGGCAGCCTCCGCCTCCTGGTGATCAGACGACTGGGTGCTGGCTGGGGGCCCTGGACCCCTGTCTTAGCAGCCCACAATGCTGCCCAGGATGGAACTGACCAGGAAGGGGCTGGGATGGGTGAAGAGGTTCCTGCCAGAACCAGGAAGAGGCTTGTCAGAGTGCAAGGGGGCTGGCACCGTCAGCAGCTCGAGGGATGCCACCTGGGCTCTGAAGACACAGAACACAGGGAGCCGCCTTCCCTCTGGTATGATACCAACCTCCAGGACAGCGGCAGGTCCTTCCCTTGGACCACACAAGTCCACTGTCCATGCACCTGGCTACTGACTGACCTGTCAAAAGAATGCTACCCAGGATGTCCTCCTTAGCAGCCCATGTCCTTGGCCTCTCTTCCCAAGGCCAATGCTGATCACTTTGGTTGGACATCAGATTTGGAGCCTGGGAAGAGGGGACCTAAAATGTCTAGCCCCTGTCCCAGAGTCAGCGGGCCAGGCCCCACCAACGGTTGCCTGGCTGCACCCTGCTGTGACGCACAGTGCGGCTGGCCAGGTCTCCTTGAGGACTGAGCTCTGACTGTGCCACTTCTCAGCTCTGATCCTTCACTGGGGCCCTAATGCCCACTGGGTGTGCCCACGCCACTGTGAGCAGAGGACTCTGGGAGCTGGCTCCAGTTCATCTTTTACCCTGATCTTGACCCGAGACCACCTGGCCTCTCCAACCAGGGCATATGCTTGCCCCCAAGGCCTTCTGTGCAAGGCCTTTCTTAGTCCTCCAAGGGAACTGCCCTCCTGCCTGGAGCTCCTCGCCCACCTGTCAGGGAGCCAAGAGCAGCCTCCTCTGGGCAGCGGGTGGCAGTCTTGTCTGCACCTTCTCTTCTGCCAGCCTGGGAGCTCAGAGAGCCAGTCCTTGCTTTGACTCACCAGCTCTGGCAGAGGCGTGGGGCCTGTTACTGGAGGGAGGGTGGCAGCAGGGGTCCTGGCGGAGCCTGCCCAGCACACCGCCCTGCGTCCCGCTGCTGCTCCTACGGGACCACTGCCCTCCGGCTGGCCTGGGTGGAGACGTCACTGTCTTTCTCTCTGGCTTAGCGTGACCTCAAAGAGGGAGCCCAGCTTTGCAAAAACCCTTAACAGAGCCTGGGAGAAGGCACCCTAAGGCCCCGAACTTCTCCCTGCAAAGTGGGGGACATGGGGGAGCCCTACGTCCCTCAAGAACTGTAGGGTGTCGGTCTGAGGACTGTTGTGTAGATAGAAACCAATTCTCGGGGTTGGGAAGTAAGGCAGGCCTCCCCCCAAAGGGGCTTGTTCTTCCCTCCATTCCTGCTTGGTCACCTCTTCCTGGTTCACTTCCCCCAGGGCCTCTCCGAGACACCCCAGGCTGACTCAGTGGTAGTGGGTCCAGCACCCCCCGTGGTCCCCTGGTTAGCAGGCTCTGCTCTTGTGTTCTCTTCCTGGGGGTGGGGGAGGTGGCCTGGAGGCCTGAGGGAGTATCCTGGGGTGGGAGGAGGCTCTCAAAGCTCTGGCTGTGCCCCTAAGTGGGCGGGCTGCCGGTCCTGGGAGGCCTCTCACGTCCCACAGGGGGGAGGCTCACAGCTTCAGGTGCAAGGCTCTGCAAGTCTGCACCAGCTGAGGCCAGAGCAGGGAAATCCTTCTCCTTCCTCCTTCCAGAACCCGCCACCAGGCCTTGTAAGTCCCCGGGGCTTCCTATCTCCCTGTTCCTTCGCGTACGTTCCCTGCCCCGGCTCCTTTCCTGTCTCCTGCTCCTCATGTGGGGACCTGGGCACACTCCCAGCTCCCCCTTCCTCCCATCCCAGACACAGGAACCTGCCTAGCGGGCAGGCCCAGCTTTGCTGTGTTTGGCTGCCCCTCTGAGTGCAGCTGGAAAGCCCCGGAGTGGTGAAGGGAGCCATTCTTCCCGCCCTCTCCCGGCAACCAGGCCTCAGGGATGCGGAGGCTGGTCCTCCTGTTCCTTCGGAGCCTCTTAGCCGCCATCCTACTCTGGGCCAAAAGAGCCCTTTCTTCTTCAGTTGTCTGTGTCCCAAGAGGGGAGCTGGGCCAAGGGGCTGTGAAAGCCCCTCTGTTCTGGCCTCCGGGCCCTGGCTCGCTCTCCTCAGCTCCCTTCCGGGAAAGTGTGACCTCTGTGTCCCCTCTCTACTCTGAAAGGCCCTTTGGGGTGGGGTGGGGTGCAGAGGAGCTAGGAGAGGGAGGCCAAGGCCTTTCTCTGTTTGCTGGGGAGCCAGGGCCCTGTCCCAGGTCCTCCTCAGGACCTCTCCTATTTCCATCCCCCCATGCCATAATGCCACTGAGTAGTGCCCTCAGAGCTGAGGGTGGCCCTGCCTGCTCCCAGCTCGCCTGACCAGGGGTTCCCGGGCCACCTGCCTGCACGATGCTGTGGCCCTCAGGGATGTCCTCGGGGACGCTGGCCTCGTAGCTGCTCTGCAGAAAGATGGGCCGGTTGTCGTTCACGTCCAGGACGGTGACAAACACAGTGGCCGTGCCAGTGCGCCGCTTGCCTACGGGGCCGTTGTCTGTGGGAGTTTTAGAAGGACAGTCAGTGCCTTCCTGAGGGGCAGGCTTCCCGGGCCCTTGCACGCTCCTGGGCTCCAGCCAGACACGCGCCCTGTTCTGCCCACTGGCCCAGTGTTTGCAATAGTGACTCTTTCCCTTCCCATGCGCTGGGCACTGTTCTCACTCAGTCCTCACCCATTTCACAGAGAAGGCAACTGAGGCACCCAGCAGGTGAAATAGCCCAATGCCTGGGGACCTGCAAACACTAATTTTTTTTTTTTTTTTTTTGGAAAAAGGGTCTTTGAAGATGTAATTAAGTTAAGAATCTTGAGAAGAGATCATCTCGGACCTTCAGGTGGGACCTAGACCCAACAATAAGCGTCTTTATGAGAGAGACATGCTGGGGGAGCGGGGTGCACGGTGCACGCCTGTCTGTAGTGCCAGCACTCGAGGGTCTGAGGCAGGAGGATTGCAAGTTTAAGGCCAGCCTGGGCAACTTAGTCCCACCCTGTCTCAAAAAAGAAAAGAAAAGAAAGAGAAGGCAGAAGGAGATTTGAGACAGGGAGAAGGTCATGTGGAGATGAAGCCACCAGCCAAGGAGCACCCACAGCCATGGGAAACCGGGCGTCGGGGAAGGGTTCTCCCCTAGAGCCTGCGGAGGGACTGCGGCCCTGCTGACCCCTCCTTGTGAACTTCCAGACCCAGGAGAGATACATTCTGATGTTTTAAGCCACCCAATCTGTGATGCAAATGGAGGACACAGACACAGGCAAAGCCAGCAGCTGGGGGTGAGGGACAGGGAGGGAGCTGTCCTCTGCTCCTGTCCATCGATGATGGGCAGAATGTGGGACACCCACGCCCACAATTTCTCAAAAGAAATAGAATATCTGAACTTTTAAACAAGAGCTGTCATTCCTATTAAAACACTGGGGCTTAGAGATGTGCTGCAGGGCAGATCTGGCTGGGGGGTGGGGGGCTCTGCACTCAGGGGCCTGGTCATGCCTGGCTCCTAAACCCAAGGTGTCCATCCGGGGACTCTGCAGAACCCTCCCAGCCTGGGGTGGGAGTGAGGGTGGAAGCCTTGGCCCTGCCCAGGATAGCTGTTGGGTTGTCCTCCCTGGAGGAAGGAGCTGTGCCCAATGTTTGTGACCAGACCAGGGCGGTCACCCCAGGGAGAGGCGTGGCAGCTGGAGTTGGCTGGGAACCAAGGGTGACTCTGCTTCTTTCCCAGGCTAGCTGGGCACATGCCGGATGCAGTCACCTCCCCAAGCAGATCCTCTTAACTCCCAAGCTCTCCCCCAGCCTAGCCTCCAGCCACCCCGAGGGGCCTGCTCACTTGCCCCAGCTGGGGACACTGAGCTGGGAGGCCACCCAGAATGTCGGAGCCTGAGCCCTTTCCTCCTGCTAGCTGATGCCCGAAGCTGCGGCTGGACTCAGAGGGGATGAGGGGTCTTCAAGGGTGGGGTAGCCGCCCCAGGGTGGGAAGAAACAGGATGAGGGTGTCCAGGCAGGTTGGGCTGGGGATGAACTGCGCTGGAAAGAGTGAGTCAGACAGCTCATCCCGCCCCTACCCTCCAGGGCCCTGAAAGGCTCCCAACTGCCTGAAGATCAAAGTCCAAATTTCCAGTCCAACCTTAGGCTTCCCAAACCCCAGATCAACCGATCCATCTATCTATTTTTCTTTCTTTCTCTTTTGGTACCAGGAATTGAAACCAGGGGTGCTTAACCACTGAGCCACACCCCCCAGCCCTTTTGTATTTTATTTAGAGACAGGGTCTCCCTGAGTTGCTTAGCGCCTCACTGTTGCTGAGGCTGGCTTTGAACTAGCCATCCTCCTGTCTCAGCCTCCCGAGCCATTGGGATTACAGTTGTACACCACGGCGCCTGGCAAACCGAGACCTTTCTGATCTTGGTCTTCTCTCTCTAGTGTAGGCCAACCTTGGGAAAGCTGCTTCTCTCTCTCTCTCTCTCAGACCAGGCCCTGAGTGTTCCTCTGAGAGGACCGTCCCCCACTCTCTGACTCTGAGGCCTGGGATTCCGGGCAGGAGGCTCTGCCCCAGCTCAGCTCCAGGCATGGGCCGGGGGCTTAGGCCTAACCAACCCGCACACCTCAGTCCCCTGGTCACAACAAAGGCTCAGTGACGGCCCTGGGACAGACGGAACTAATCCGAGCTAAT